AAAAAAAAAAAAAAAAAAAAAAAAAAAAAAAAAAAAAAAAAACACAAGAGGCTACAGAGTCAACTCAACAGGTAAGGATAGAAGAATTCACAATATTAACCAATGAGGAAGGTCTAGTTGCACCAATGCATGGGATGCATGTCCACTAAGAGTTGTACAGTTGCAGCAATGCATTGGATGCATGCCCACTGAGATCTGTACAGTTGAAGCAATGCATCAGATACATGCCCACTGAGAGCTTTATGGTTAGGGAAAGCTTAATTTCATGATGAGAAATGAGCAGAACTCCATAAAGAGAACTGCAGTCCCACTCCATGAAGCCCCCATTCTAGAGGAACCCTGAAAAGATAAAGCAAACAAGCTCCTGCATGGACCTAGGAATCCAGCATCTCTAGTTTAGGCTGTTTTAAAGTGTTACACAACTTTCTCCCAGGCACAGCCACTCTTAACTTTCCTTTGATTCTTTGAGGAGTTAAAGAGTTTAAGGCACTCTTAAGAGTGGGCTGGAGTGAACAAGGATCCCATCTCCTAAGAGAAGAACAGACACAACAGAGGCATATCCTCCTGAGTCCTAAAGTGTGGGATAGGTAGATGCTACCACAGGAACCCAAGAACCTGGACTCCCAGGAGAGAAATTCAAAATGCTGACAGGCATACTCCCCTGACTTTAGCTGTATCAACTGCCATTCATAGTAAATTTGAATTCATATCTGTAAAGCATGTGGGCACAAAACCAAGGTTTAAAAGGTAATGTCCAAATGGCAGCAACCAGAAAAAAAAAGACAATGCCAATATAAGGCCATGTCAGCTACCCCTAGGTGACACTATCAGCAAGGCTTCTCTGCAGGTAGACATCTTCCCACTTTACAAACCTAGATAAATACACCTGCATTTTTGCTCTTCATATAAGATGGATGGACCAGAAACCCAAGGAGTCTGGGAAGCACCCAGAATCACATGTGGGTGTGGAAACTACAATACAGGCCTTGCAAATGTTGGGCAAGGAGGAAGAACCTAAGGAGATAAAGGTGGTACCTGCTCAGGAATAAATGCTAGGACACAATCATTTGCTGGGCTATGAAATCTTATGAGTCACTGGGCAGCATCAGCACCTGACCTGGGAAGTGGCTACAGAGGACAGAGACCCCCTTCCAGTTCAAAGTAAGTTGCTGCTGCTCTAGGTACAGGAGCTCTGAGCAGCTGACACCAGAAGGGAGCTCAGCATCGATGTTGATCTCAAGATTTCAGCATTGTGTCCACAGAAGAGTATTATTGTGTCTACAGAAGAGTATTAGGAGGCACTAACTTAATTTTATTTGAATAATTGCTAACAAAACACAATCAGCATCAGGGTATAGCTAAAGAGCAGAATACATGCCTAGCATGTCAAGGCTTTGGGTTCATCCTCAATACTGTAAGGAAAACTCAATCACATATTAAGTTAACAGCACCAATGGCTCCTTACCCTTCTGTTGAGAGCCGTTTTGCTCCCAAGCTTTGTCATCTCCCCAAGGCTGTTCTGTGAAACTCTTCTGTCAGCATCCTCCTGCACCCCTGGAAGAATGCATCGAGATATCACTCTGGTAGTTTAAGTGAGAGTCCCCCAAGCCTCAGGTGTTTGAACACTAGCCCCCAGTTGATGGCACTGTTCAGAAGGTGTAGGGTCTGAGGCCTTGCTGGAGGAAATGTGCTATTGGAGGTGGGTTTGAGGGTTTAAAGAGGCATGCCAGTTGTGTTTTCTCTCTGTTTCCTGTTTACAGTTTAAGATATGAATTCTCACTTGCTACTCTCACTAGCTGCCAAGCCTTCCCCTATGCCTGCCCATGCCATGCTTCCCCACCATCATGGTGCTGGACTCTCATCACCTAGGAACCACAGCTCAAATAAACTCTTCCTTCTGTAAGTTGCCCTGCTCATGGTATTCCATCGCAGCATTAGAAAAGTCACTAATTCAAGCACCATGTGTGCAAAGTTGTTTCATGTGATATTAAAGAGACATAAAATAGCAACAACATTTTTCAAGGTAAACAGAGACTATAAAAACTTTCAAGTCCAAGTACCTTAGGGTTTGATACCTACCTGTGGTATCTGGGCATGAAATGTCCCCATTTGTTGCTGAAGTTACAAGATACTTCCTTGCATTGCTAAGGCCACGACTATTAAGGAAAACTGGTAAGTGAACTATATTGCGCATATAGTCGTGTCCGTTTATATTTGAATCACGAAGCACACTGTTCAGGTTCTGGTTGATGGCCTTTATAATAATGTGTGGATCACTTGCAAAAATGGCAATAAAGGGGCCTTTTGAAAACAGAACTCGGACCTGTGGCAAAAGAAAGGCATGGACATGACACAAATTTTAAAATTATACAAAATAATATCTTTTTAAAATCTGTACTATCCTTAGCTGGGCAGTGGTGGCACATGCTTTTAATTCCAGCACTTGGGAGGCAGGGACAGGTGGATATCTGAGTTTGAGGTTGGCCTGCTCTACAGAGCTAGTTCCAGAACAGCCAGTGTTATAAAGGGAAACCCTATCTCAAGAAAGAGAGAGAACAAAACAATTTTTATGAGTGGCTCAATCTTAGTGTTGGTGTTATCATGCACCAATGACAAAAGAAACAAAGAGTTAATGTGGTTTCCATTTCAGATACCTACAGCCTACACCAAAGGAATCCTTTGTGAATACATGAGAGGTCCTGGGCACATCCGTTTCTGCAGTTTACCACTGTGTTTATAACACACCTTAGATTGCCTGTTTTCTGCTTTTTAACACAAAACTATAAATTCTATGGGTTCCCTCTGTCATGTCAGAATATAACACGATTGTCTGCAGAGATGAGCCACACTTGCCACTGAGGGACACCCCACAAGTGTTTGTGTGTGTGTTTGTTTTTTCCTAATAATCATCTGCTGAAATATTTGAATGTTCTTCATTAAACATTTACTTCTGCAGGATTTCTGCATTTAAAAAATTAGTTCTTTTTATAAAAGAGAAATTCATCAGAGAAACCAGTGTTTCTTGAATCAGAAGCGCAGTTTCCACCCCAGTTGAGATAACTGTGAAGTAATGCAACCTATGTGGCCACACTGACAAGTTTGGGGACAGGGAGACGTACGGTGTCCAGCATCTGCAGAACCTTGTCCTGCTCACAGGCGTCCAGGCCATCGATGATGACCACCAGCCTTGTCTGGTTCTGAGTGAAGCTGTCAATGGTTTTTGCCATCTTGGCCATCAACTCCACCTCACACTTCAGGACCTGCACAAAATGCAGGAGATACAAGAATTTGAAACATGGGAGAAAGCCATCCAACAGGAGGAGAAGAAACTCAAAGTTCTTGCTGCCAGCGGCAGTTCCACTGTAGTAAGGTTTCAGTTCATGGACTGACAACACTTCACTCTCAGAATGTCACCAGGAAACACTATGACAGGGACTTACAAAGGACAGAATGGGTTGAGAGACTTGCTTGCCAAAATCACAGACTCTGAAATGACAAAAGACTTGGACTTGAATTCTACCCAAGAGACCTACTGACTGCTGCACTACTCTTGGCTCTTTGGTGACATATAGTTTTAACAACATTAAATATACTCATACCATATGGTCCAGGAATTATAATCCTTTGTATTTGCTCAAAAGAACTAAAAACTTACATCTACACAAAAACCTGAACACTGATATTTATAGCAATTTTATTCTTAACTGCTAAAATTTAAATCAACAAAGATATATTTCAGTAGGTAACTGAATAATATACACTCTTCATCCAGGCAACAATATTATCCAGGCATAGGAAGCAATGACATTTTAAGCTATGGAAAGGAACATAAATATCTATTATTAGGTCAAAGAAGCCATTATGAAAGAGCTACAAACTGCACAGTTTCAACTACATGGCATTCTAGAAAAGACACAGCTACTGACATAGTAAACTTATCAGCATTTGACTGGGGCTGGGAGAGACAGAGGGCTGAACAGGTGAGGCAGGGGCTTTCCTGGAAGTAAAATACTATAATCATGGGTATGCTATCAACGATTTATGCAAACCCAAAGAATGTGTGGCGCCAAGACTGAACCTAGTGTAAACTGGGGACACTGAGTCTGACTCTGACAGGCCAATGCAGGTCTATCAACCGGAGCAATTGGAGTACTCTTGTGACAGGTATTGTAACAGCAGCTGTGCATGTGTGCTAGTACAAGATACATGGGTTATATCTTAATTTTCCTATAAATGAAACAAACTAATTAAACTAAATTAAATGCAACAGACTTGGACATGTAGATGACTGATAGGGTGCTTGCCTAGTATCACTAGGTCCCAGGTTCAGTCCCTATTGCTGAACAAATGAAAAACCAAAATAACAACAATAAAAACCTGCATGTAACCCTGCAACATTTTTCGAAAGCACAGCCAGTGAGTGGCATATTCCCACTACAGCTTCCTATGGGGAGCACTCACTTTCATGAATCCCTCACTTTTCAGTTTGTGCAGTTTGGAGGCAGCACTGTGGAGGCGTTTTCGCTGAGAATTCAGGAGAGAGTCCAGCACTTGCCACCATGTCCGGCAATTCAGCACAAAGGCCAACCCCACGACAGATGCAATTGATATGAGGACAGCATTCACTGTCAGATGTTTGGGGTCAACTCTGAATATAGCCAAAAGAGTAATTCCAGCAATAATGCAGCCCACAATGAAAAGAAAGATGATAAAAGATGGGAGACAGCAAGTTTTTTTCCATTTCTTTTTACCTGCAATTGAACAAATAGTATTGAGAATTATTACAATATCATGTACCCAGAAGACCATAATCTTTATGGTCAAGAGGTTCAATTCACGGTCTCATGAAGATAAATGAACATTTATTCCCTTCCTTACCCCTAGAAACACACCAGGAAGGAATGGAGGCAGGGAGGGAGGGAGGCAGGGATGGAGGGACAGAGGGAGTCCGTCCTACCCTGAGTATCTTCAGTCTTGAATACTCGAAAAAGCCTGGTAGCCAGAAAGCCAAACTCTCTCTCACAGGCATCTGAGAGGGTGGCGATCATCTCAGCCAAGGAAGTCTCTCCACCCACACTGGAAAGTCTGTTGTAATCTGTAAACAAAAACCTTGGGAGAGACCAAGTAGGAAGTTATTCAGCTATCTGATGCAGAACTTCTAACATATGTAAGACATCTCTATCATTTATTCTACATTTTCTTTCTTTCTTTTTTAAAAGACAACATCTGGTTCTTCTTTTAAAAATTACTTTAATTTTATGTGTGTGAGTGATTTGCCTGAATATATGTCAATGCACCACATGTGTGCCTGGTGCCCACAGAAGTCAGAAGAAGAAGTCTGATCACTTAGAACTGGACCTACAGATGGTTGTGAGCACCATGTGGGTGCTGGAACTTGACCCCAGGTCCTCTGGAAGAGCAGCCAGTATTCCTAACCACTGAACCATCTCTCCAGCCCTCATTTAGTCCATATTTTCTTGACGTTCTTTTAAAGTTCTGAGGCAGAACATGTGATTACTCATCTTCTACTCTGAGCATATTGGAGATTCTCTCAGGAAAGATGCTAATGTGTTAAATGTCTGTGAATGGCCACTGGGAAAGGGGAGAGTGAAGGCAGAGCTTCACCTCCTGTCATCATGGAGGAGAAAGTACTCTAACACCAGCCAGAGTGGAGAAGCCAGAGCCTTCACTGCAGACAGGAATTCAAGCAAGTTTTCTGCTGGAGACTCAGTGCTTAAGAATGCATGCTGTTCTTTGAGAGGTTCAGTTCTCAGCACCCATGTGGCAGCTCACAACCACCTGTCACTCCAATTCCAGGAAATCTGCCTCCCTCTTCTAAACGCCATGGGTACCACATGCACAGACATACATGAGGCAAAGCATCCACACACATAAAATAAAAACCAGTAAATCCTAAAAATTAATAAAGTAAATAAACTTTTCTAATGTCTTATTTTATTTATAGCATTAACATATACTATAGGATTTAGAAATAATTGTAAAATATCCTTTTCAGAGTTGTCCTTCAAAATAATTGACTTTCTGACATCTTGAAGTCTCTGAATTATTTATTTCTGCATTAATTCATTCTTCCCTTCCATCTCTAAGTTAAATTCTCACCCAGTAGATAAATCAACCCAGGAGATAAAACATGTTTCAAAATTACAGTCTGGAATGACACTGTATTATATATATTATGTGGTCTTTTTTTTTTTTTTTTTTTTTTTTTTTTTTTTTTTTTTGTGAA